CTAAAAAAAAAAAAAATTTGCTAATTGCCAGAGACAGGATTCAGATAACACCCATTCTAGTTCTCAAATTCCTTAAGGAAGATTATCATGCCTCCCCTTCTTTTTCTTTTCTTTTCTTTCTTTCTTTTTTTTGCAGAGCCAGGGATTGAACACAGGCCCTTACACCTGCCAGGCAAGCACTTATTCAACTGAGCTATCTCCCCAGGTCCCCTCCCCTTCTAAGGCCCCACTTTTCTTAGAGAAAAAGCAGTATTTGGCTTCATTCTGACACCAGGAATCTGAACTTTGGTGTCTTGGTTACTCTTCTCTTATTGCTGGGACAAGTACCCAACACCGAAAATTAAGAAAGGAAAGGATTATTTAGCTCATAGTTAGTGGACATTTCAGTTCATACTAAGCTGGCTCCAAGGCAGAGGGCACAAGACAGAGAGTGGAAAAAAGAAAAAGAGCAAAAATAAAAATAAAAATAAAAATAAAAATAAAGAGCAAAGGGAGTGGCAGCAGCTCAGGCAGCTAGCTAACCTCTTTCCTTTCCTCACATTGTAATGCAAACTACCTGCCCCAGGGCAGGTGCAGAACCCACACCCACAATAATCAATCACAAATTCTAGAAGCTACCCATGACTGCATGAGGCTTTGGGGGGGACACCTAGACACCAACCATAATACTTGGCAATGGATGGAAACAAGCAGTCACCACCTCACTGCCTTCTCCCCAGACAAGACTAAGAGGCTTCTTAGGGATGGCAGGCTGTAGTCAAATTCAGACACTTATTTTGCGTTTTGATATAGCCTCACTTAGGAATCCTTAAAGGGGAATGAAAGGAGGAGGTCTGTTCAAATAAAAAGTCAAAAGAATTCAAGGCCCTCAAAATTAAGATGGGCCAGGCCCCTGAAGCCAGACTTCCAAGTCTAAAAAAGCCTTTCACTTCCACAAGAGCAGCTGTCTCCTTTGAGACTGTATTTCAAAGAGCTAACTCACAAGCCCTGAAAGGTATTATATAATACAGGTTCACAGAGCACTTGTCACTAGCTAACTTATTTACACCGTGTGAGACAAAACACAATCAGCTGCAGCATCCTGCAGGAAGTAACCATTACTTATAGCCAGCCAAAGGGGTCAGGGAGATGGCTCAGTGGAATAAGCGCTTCCTTGCAAATGCAAGCACAAGGGCCTGAGTTCAATCCCTGGTTCTGTCAAAACAAACAAAACCCTTATAGCCAGCCAAGGACAACAGAAGACTTGGATCCACTGGTCCCAGACAACTCAGGAAACCTGTCCTAAACTGCATGTGCCCCACTTGCACCACAGCCAAAGAACCACAAAAGGAAGTTCTCTAGGATACTCAGGTACAACAGGACACCCTGGGTAAGGAGGTTAACTTGAGGGGTTGGAAGCTTGGCTGGATCAGCTCAGCAGGGGCATGGAGGGCCTGCCCTAGAGTGATTCATCACGAAAAGGGTATATAAAGGGGTTGAGGAAGGATTTGGTGCATCACTTCCTCGGGAGTTTGATCTTTGCCACTGTGCACTTCCTCGGAGATCAATCGTCATAGCCCCTGCCATTTCCTCAGAGAAGCTCTGATCTTCACAGGACAGAAGAGAGGCTTGATAGATGCCGCAACTGCTGCTTCTTCCTCTGCTCTTCACTGTGTTTTCCTCCACCATGAACTGCTGCCTTGTGCTTTGTGCTACTCTGCCTTAGAGCCAGCGGAGTATGGACTGACACCTCCACAAACTGTGAGCTAAATAAGCCTTTCCTTCCTTAATTTTGGGTGCTGGGTATTTTGTCCCACCTATGAGTAAAAAGTAGCCGAGACACTGGGCAAAACTTTCAAATATAAGCTGCTTTCAGGGGAAAGGGCAACAAAGTGCTGATTTACTAAGGGTACCCAGTATGCTTACGCTCTAGATCCAGAACACCTTTCAAGTCCAGTGTTCAGATGGGTTTTCAAAATGTGACTAGATCATAGATGTGCTGTACTCATCAGATTAATCTGCTGATGAGCTCTCAGCTGAATGTGGTATTAGGAGGTGGATACTAAGGTGGATATGGGCCACTGAAGACATGACTTTGGAGGATGCACTTCTATCCAACTATCCCATTTGCTGGCTGTGGAGAGCTTCCTTCTGTCATGCCCGTCCTGCCTTGGCATAGACTGAACATTCTGAAACCATGAACCAAAATCAATCTCTTCTCAAGTTGTGCATATTTGGTGTTTTGTCCCAGTGTTGGGAAAGGTGATTAATACACTAATAGACTAAAACAAAGCCTACAGGCCCATTTGAAACATGCTCACAGATGGGTGACCAGGATCTTGGATGGAGAGGCCAACACTATCTTTGTCCTCATCCTGCCTTGGGAGGCTGTGTATTGTAGCATCAGACAGATTAGGAAACAAACTCCAGTGATCCCAGGCTGCTGGTCAGATTAACAAGAGTGACTGCTGGAGCAAGAGACTCAAATGAAAACTCAGTTTGAACCCCTAAACTGGCTGGTCCTCAGGGATATAGTTCAGTGGCACAGTACTTGCCTGGGAAGCACAAGGTCCTGAACTGGATTCCTGGTACAAAAACAAAAAAAAAACACTGCCTGGCCCTGGCAGAGCTTTGTACTATGCCACACCCTAGCCTACCCCTACTGTCTGTGTGACCCAGCAGTGTAAGCTGAAGGTCCATTCCCCTGGCTATCTCTCAAGATAGCTGTCAGCAGGGGGAAAAACCCCCAAGGGGTGAGGTAATGTTTTCAGTTCCCAGCAGAACATTCTAGCCTCTTACCATAACAGTGATGAATTCTCCACTTATGTTTGTCACCAACTACACTAACTGTTGTGAATACATCTTGCAGGGCCTTCTGTCCTGCTAGAAGTGCCAGGGGAGTCCATGAGACCCTGATTACTGCTGCAAGTATTCCATCTGCCATCTACAGATCCCTGAGACAGCAGCAAGCTCTATATGACCTCTAAAATGAGTCCTGGGCCAGGGATGTATCTCAGTGGCGTAGTGCCTGCCTTTCAAGTGGAAGATCCTGAGTTTGATTCCTGGTACCAAAAAAAAAGTGTCACTAAAATGAGTCCTTGTAGTACCCTGTAACAGTATATCAACTAAGCGCTGAGATTCTGAGAGGCAGAGAAAACAAGGATCATCCTGCAAGCACCTGGAAATCATGTGTGACCTTGGAACCCTTGCATGTTACCTGGGTTATTTCTACACTGGCTCTGAAGTATGCTCTCTGAATAAAAGCCACACCCATACCTGCTGTACTTAGAAGCCAAGTTGCCTCCCAAGGCCCAGATAGCTCAAATGATCATTGTTTCAAGAAAAGGCACTGGGTGGTGCGATTACAAGTGAACTCTGGGCACTCTGCTTCTGGACACAAGAACATTCACTTACTGTTGAAACTACTCTGAATCATTGATTCCCACGGAAAAACACTGAGTGATGTTGTGAATCTCTTGTCTATCAGGAACTATGCCTGTTCCTCACCTGCAGAACTTGGGCCCACCCTCTGTACTAAGCTCTAAACTTTCAAGTATAGACTGCACTTTGAGTGCAACAGACACAGGCTTTATTGAAGGGGTGTCACGCATTCCAGAAAGCATATTTGTATGAAGTTGGATATTGTCTTTAAGAAAGCAATTTTGAATTTTTAACCAACATTCCAAGTTCTTACCAAAGACATGGTCCCATAAAAAATTCTTCTTTTTTTTTTTTGCGGAACCGGGGATTGAACTCAGGCTCTTGCACTTGCCAGGGAAGTGCTTATTCCACTGAGCCATCACCCCGGCCCTCATAAAAAATTAAGTATTTTAAGGCTACAGATTTATTCACATTTATACCAGTAAATGGTTCATTTCACGTGAATTCTCTGATGTTGAGTAAGCCTTGAGCTCCGATTAAAAGCTTTGCCACAATCATTACATTTGTAAGGCTTCTCTCCTGTGTGAATTCTCTGATGTATAATTAAATGTGAGCGCCACCTAAATATTTTCTCACAGTCATCACACTGATGCAGTTTCTTTACAGTGTTCACTTTTTTACGGCTCACAAAAGTGGGCCCCTGTAGGGTGTTTCCATATTCATAGTACCACTGGGCTCTTGTATGTATTCTCTGGTGTTCAATAAGATATGAGCTCCGACTAAAGGCCTTTCCACATTCATTACACTCATAGGGCTTCACTCCTGCATGAATTATTTGGTGTTGGAAAAGGGTTGAGTTCTGACTAAAGGCTTTCCCACATTCATTACACTTATATGGTCTCTCCCCAGTGTGGACCCTTTGGTGGATAGTGAGCTGTGTGCTCATACTGAAGGCTTTTCCACACTGAAGGCATTCAAATGGCTTCTCTCCTTTATGGATTCTCTGATGGTAAATGAGGCTGGAGCTCTGGCTAAAGGCTTTCCCACAGTCATTACACACATAAGGTTTTTCTCCAGTGTGGATTCGCTGATGCTGAATAAGATGTGAACCCTGGACAAACCCTTTTCCACAGTCATCACATTTAAATGGTTTTTCTCCAGTGTGAGTTCTCTGATGGCGAATAAGCCGTGAACTACAACCAAAGGCTTTTGTACACTTGTTGCATTTATAAGGTTTCTCTCCAGTGTGAATCAGCTGGTGCTGACTCAGGCGAGAAATCCACCTAAAAGCTTTCCCACACTCATTGCACTTAAATGGCTTCTCCACAGCATGACTTCTCTGATGTGCAACAAAGCTTGAACCTTCTGAGGGTCTTGGGATTTGAGGTTTCTCTACAGTGTGCATCCTCTGGTGCTGAGCTAGAGTTGAGCTCTGGCTGAAGGCCTTGCCACACTCCTTGCACAGGTAGGGCCTCTCCCCAGTGTGAGTTCTCTCGTGTCTGACTAGTTGTGACTGCTGGCTGAAGGCCTTGCCACACTCACGACAACTGTAAGGCCTTTCACCTGTGTGGATTCTCTGATGATGGATAAGGCTTGAACTCTGACCAAAAGCTTTGCCACATTCATCACATCTGTAGGGCTTTTCTCCAGTATGAATTCTTTGATGCTGAATAAGTTTTGAGCTCAGGCGGAAGGCTTTTCCACATTCAACACACTTAAATGGTTTCTCTCCAGTGTGGATTCTCTGGTGCTGGTGGAGCTGTGAGCACAGTCTGAAGACTTTTCCACACTCTTCACACTTGTACGACTTCTCCCCACAACACTTAACAGGAAGATTCCCCTGCAAGCATTCAGGTAATTGTTCTTGGCATTGTTGACATCGGTGATGTTTCTCCCGGTTCAAATCCAAGTCTAAAGAGGTTCTCAGACTTCTGCCACATACCTCACATCTCTGCAGTCCTTCTGCACTGTCCCTCTGATATATCTCAGACTGATGATCTGGATCACTGGCTCTCAGCTCCCTATATTTCTGGGCAGTGTCCTTGGTGGCAGTTTTAGGTGCTCCAGTTTTCTTCAAATGGTGCTTCTGGAAGAGGGAGCTCCTCACTGTCAGCCCCCAGCTACTTGAACACCTCTCGGACCAGACTTCAGAATTCCAAGCATTCTCACAGCCATGACTCTGAGGTTTGAGAAGACTGATATCCAGACAGGGCTGCTTACAGTCAGGTTTAATAGTGGACTCTGAAACAACCAGGAAATAAAAATTCTCTTTAAATACTGAGCTTAGAGAAAGGACAAAAACTATGGGAATAGGGTGAATATCCACACTTCCCAGGCAGACTGTGTGTGTGACACACCGTAAGTAGAAACATGGCAAGGAAATTCTTGGAGAATTTTTACAATGTGGCTTCGTTCATATTCTATGCATTCATTTGACAATGATGAAGTGCTCATGTATAACAGAGTGCTGAGAATTGCATGTCCTAATAGGGGTGGACCCCACAGGGTGATTTGGAGTGAATGTCCACAAGAATGCCAAGTGAGGATGGACAAGCAAACAAACGTAAGAGGGTGAAGTCTGCCAAGAAGGATTCAGCTGGTATGTGTGTTGGGGGGGGGGGGTTCCAGAGGTTCCCAAAATTCTAGTTAGCAAGTGAGAACAGAATAGGTCTAAACTGTGAACAGAAGGAATAGACAGAAACAAGAGGCTGAAAAGCTGCTAAGGGCACCACAGAAGCCCTTAGAAGAGGGCTGATGTTGGAAGGGCTGTACCAAGAAGTACTTCATCTTCTCTGCTCCCTCCAGCTGCACTGTCACTGACATTACTCAAAAGGCTGTAGACCAAGAGGCCAGACTAGAGCCCATGCTGACTTCTTCCTAGGAGTCTATGCACCTGTTGCCCCCCCCCCACAAACCCACTCCCCTTCTGAACCCTCCCAATAAAACACAGGAACCTTCCTAATCTGAAATCCCCAGAGTAACTCTACTGAAAGACTTCCTCTTGATAACAACAAACCACAAACACAAAACAACCACAATCAAGCTTCAGCAAATCACCTGCAGCAAATCCACAGCCTTGCCTGGCACGTTCATCCTCATCAGTAAAATTGAGCCTCCAATTCCAGTGATCTGAGCAGATCTTCCACACAGTAAGGTAAGAGTGCCACTTATGCAGCCTATTCTGTGCAATGCACAATTCCACCAATCCTCTGTTGACCTTCCACAGCCCAGTGAGGGCAGCAAATTCCCCATCCACAGCTAAGCAGACTGGCTCAAGGGGGAACAAGTGCACCCAAGGGCACACAAATAATAACAGACCATACAGCCCCAAACCTCCCCACCTCATCATGTAGCAGAGATGCGCCTTTCCTAGCCTTCCTCTGCCACAGGGGTGAGAAAGGACAGTGAGACACACAGCAAGTATTATTTCTCTGACGCCTGTTGGAACTCATAGTTCCTTTGGGAGAACTTCAAGAACTACTATTCTGAATGCAGGCCTACTACTACTGCTGTTTAGCCAGGAATTGTCCAGCCTCCTGCTGCTCAGGAGGATGAAACTTCTATGTGGCTAAGCAACCAAGAGCAACCATGACCAAAGGACAAGAATGTCACAAATCACCTGGCAATGCTCCTAAGTACTACCCTCTGAATTCTGTGACTATGTATGTGAGCAGCTTGGGTTAAAACTTCTGTCCTAACCCTGAATAACACCAGGTCATGCCCACATTCCATAGCCCATTGCCAGCCTCCCTGGCTACTTAGCCTCCCACAGCCACCTGCTCTTGGCAGCCCCTGTCATTTTGCCTGGTCCATTTCTTCCTGACCCTACTCAGCATTAACAGCACCCCCATGGTCCTGAAATTACAGTGCAAGGCTCTCTCCTCTTCCCTGGAACAAAAGACCTTCAGTAAGCTCTGGATAACCCATAGAAAGATGTAAGCTCATGAAAAATGAAAACATACTGTGCAATTAGAAATGTGTACCTTCCAGGGCAGAACAGGTTAGGCTCAAGACCCACTAAGTCCAATGTCCTGCAACACTATGATGGGAACTACAGCTTGGGGCCATGATGGTGGGCAAGGTTGTAGGGAAAGCAGAGCCACAAATCCCCTATTCCTCTGTCTAGTACCCCTGGATATCTGATGCTGGTTGCACTAGCCAGAGGCAAAGTGCCCATCTGGGGATTTCCACTTCACTTCATATATTGAGTAGTGTTACAGTATAATCTATAAGGCTACATTCCTACCTTGCCACAGTCCTGCCTTGCACTCACTGTGGGTTGCTCTGATGTCACTTACCTTAGGGACCACTTATTGACATAAGCTCTCTGAACTGTCTAATTTTGCAACCTTTACCTATCTTTGATGTCATGGTGCACACTACAACCTCCCACCCTGGAGACATTATTGGAAGGCTGAGTTTTAACAGCCACCCTATAGCTCTGCCTCCTTTCCTGGAAGGATCAGAAGGAACCTCTGTTTAGAAGGGCTATATAGACTATATAGGGAGTTACATGGAAATAAGGTTGCTGCAGATGTAATTAGTTATGGTGAATTTGTTAGGGTAGCCTTTATGTCAACAGGACTGTGTCTTTATGAGGATTTGGGTACAAGACAGGCAGATAGGAAGAAATCAGCTGAATGAAAATGGAAGGAAAAGGGATGCAGTTACAGATGGAAGAGCATAAAGGACATATTATAAAAGCTGTCCCTGAGAGCTTTTGTGAGGGGATGGCCCTGCAGACTTCTGGCCTCCACAACTCTTGAGACAATTTCTGTTGTTTTAAGCCACTTTTTGTGACTAAGTTTGTGACATTACAGCAGCCACAGGAGACTAATCCATGCAGGTCCTGATCCGAAGGGCTCAGTTCACCCAGACCCCAAAAGTTCTGGAGGGAGTTACTGGAAAAGGCTCGGATTCAGCAAACATGAAACCTGAGAATCAAGTTCAATGCTTTACCTTAATCTAAAGATTTATGCTTTTTCTTAAAAGACTGTTAGCAAAATTAGAATCTGAACAAAATTTCAAACACATTTATGCATTATGGCACACACCTGTAATCCTAGCGCTCAAGAGGCTGAGGTAAAAGGATTGCTGTGAGTTCAAGGTCAGCCTGGGAAACATACTGAGATCAGCACCTGCCTGGACTACACAGTGAGACCTTGTTTCAAAGAAAAAAAAAAAAAAAAAAAAAGAGGGGGCCAGGGAGATGGCTCAGTAGAATAAGCGCTTGCCTGGCAAGCTCAAGGTCCTGAGTTCAATCCCTGGTTCCACAAAAGAGAGAGAGAGAGAGAGAGAGAGAGAGAGAGAGAGAGAGAGAGAGAGAAATTTCAAACATAAACCATTCTTGGTAAATGCACAGTTGTTTTGTAGTTTGGCCTCCCTACACTTGAGCAGGGTTCCTTCCAGGTTTGTGCCTCCTCCATGGGGTCCCCAGAACTCCAGACACTATCTCAAGGCCCTACTTTGGTTCTTCACCTAGAGCATCTCTTTGTTTTTTTGTTTTTTTTTTTTAATATTTATTTATTTTGCGAGTGTGTGACCAGCTCAGCCCACCAGGGGGCGGGGCTGGCTGGCATGTGGTGCTGGGGGATTGAACCGCGGTCCCTGTGTTTTGCTTAGCTTAGCTTGTTCTAAGTAGGTGCTTTAGACCACTGAGCCATCTCACCAGCCCTAGAGCATCTCTTTGATAAAGCCTGCATCTCACCTGTCTGGAGTGTCCGTGGTGCCTCGGTCCCCTCCGCTCCCTGCAGGTCTAGGACCCATGGCTCCTGTCCCTGCTCCAGTCGGGAGATCAGCTCAGGCTTGAAGACCAGGAATCCTGCTGTGTGTACAGCAAAGAAGACGCTGGAAGCTCATCCAGGGCTCAGCTGGCTCTGGTCTCCAGGTGTGGAGGATGGGGGCTGCCGGACAGGCAGACCCTTGTGGAGGGTGAGGATATGGACACTCCAAAGCCCCTCTTCATCAAACTGTGTCCAGCTCCCCATGCCATATACAGAGAAGGGCACCCCAATTCCCACAACCTTGAGGGAACTTGGTCATCAAAGAGTTTGCAAAGAACAGGCTGCTCTACCCAGGGAAGGAAGGAATGATAAGAGGAATCCCCAGCCCTACCAGTGCCTTACTCAGCAAAACCAGGGCTATCCGGGTCTCTTTCAGCTCAAATGGCTGGGCTTCCATGAAAGAGGTAGGTAATGAAGAAATAAGACTTGAAAATGACAAAAGTAAAGTCAAATGAAGGAGATTTCAAATAAGGCCTCAAGGTCCAGTCTTCATCCTTGGCCTCCTAGGCTCAGCCCTTGAGCAAACAATCTATCAAGAGAATGTGGAATAATGGAGACCTGTGGGCATAGCCCTGGTTCCTCAGTTCTGGAGCTACCAGCCCCCATGGTGTATAGCAGCCCAAAACCCCCATAGGGAGAAGCATCTGACAAAGGGCAGCCACGTTCTTAGTTTTAAAGCTTTGCTTAAGATTCCTGCCAAGTTGGGAAAGGCAGGCAGAAGTTCCAAAAGCCATAGCAAGTCTCAAGCCCTCACATATAGTCAGGAGCTCACACTCAACAGGAGACTGTATTCTCTCCAAAGCACAAGTAGAATATCCTTAGGTACAGCCACAAGGGGAATATGGCCGTTAACTAAAGAACACACATGCAGCCCAATGCCACTCATTATGAAATTAACTACCAAAAACCAGCTCATAAACTGTTACTTGGAAATTAAATGATGAATTACTGATTCTAAATGATACAAGAGGGCTGGTGAGATGGCTCAGTGGTCTACAGCACCTACTTAGAACAATCTCAGCAAAGCACAGAGACCGCGGTTCAATCCCCCAGCACCACATGCCAGCTAGCCCGCCCCCTGGTGGGCTGAGCTGGCCACACACACACACACATAAATAAAATTTAAATAAATAAATAAATAAATAAATAAATGATACAAGAGGGCTGGAGATAGAGCTCAATGGCATAAGTGCTTGCGTGGCAAGTGCAAGGTCCTGAGTTTGATCACTGGTACCAAAAATAAATACATAAATAAATGATACAAGAAAGGATCAGAAAGCCCCAGCCCTACCAGTGCCTTACTCAGCAAAATCAGGGCTATCTGGGGCTCTTTCGGCTCAAATGGCTGGGCTTCCATTAGAGAGGTGGGTAGGCAAGCAAGGATTGTTCCCCAGAGCCTTTCAGTGGTCTATGGCCCTGAAGACTTCTGGCCATAAATCAAAATTTGTAGAATGAAGCTGAAGTATGTAAAGGGAAAATTTCATATATTTAAGCACATTTACTAGCAACAAGAATAGTGAAAGAAAGAAAGAAAGAAAGAGAGAGAGAGAGAGAGAGAGAGAGAGAGACAGACAGACAGACAGACAGGACAGGACAAGACAGGACAAGACAAGACAGACATGACAGATAGACAGAGAAAGTAAAACATTAATGGACCATAAATACTTCTAAGGCCTTCCTTCCCCCAGGCCTGGATAGTTCTGCAACAAGTTCTACCACAAGCAGGAAGATTCCATTAACTACACCTCTATAAACTCCTCTAGAAATTAAACAAACAAACAACAACAGCAAAAAAATAAATAAATAAAAAATAAAGGCTGAAAAAAATAAAATAAAATAAAGGCTGAAGATGCAGTGCAGTGGTAGAGCACTTAGCTATCATGTGTGAGGCCCTGGTCAATGGGCAGCACCATAAATGAACAAACGATAGAGAAACTTCCCCAGCTAATTGCATGCCAAGGGGCTGCGGATACAGCTTAGTGGCACAGTGCATGCCTGGCAAGTGTGAGGTTGTGAGTTTGGTTCCCAGCATAAAAAAAAAAAAAGCTAGGGGCTGGTGAGATGGCTCAGTGGTCTAAAGCACCTACTTAGAACAAGCTTAGCAAAGCACAGGGACCGCAGTGCAATCCCCCAGCATCACATGCCAGCCAGCCCTGCCC